GCGGGAGCGCGCGAGCCGGCGGCGGGGGCGGGCGGGCAGGAGGGCCCGGAGGAGGGCGGCGGCGGCGGCGGCGGCGAGAGCCCAGAGCCAGCGGCCGGCCGGGCCGAGCGGAGCGGAGCGCGGCGGCGGCGGCTGGGCCGGGAGAGGCTGGCGCGCCGGGCGGCTCCGCGAATCCTCCGGCATCCGCCCCGGCGGGCCGCCCCCGCCCGCGGCAGCCCCCCGAGCAGCGGCCCGGCACCGGCGCCTTCCCGGCGGGGTAAATATTGGGGGTCCGCGGGCCCGCGGAGGGGCGCAAACCCGGGGGGAAACGGGGCTCCCTCCGCCTCTTTGTTTTTGCGCGAGAGGGAGGGGAGGGGCGGGCGGACACACGCGCGGCCGCGCTCGGGGTGGGGGGCAGGCCGGCCCGCCCGCTCGGCCGGCGAGGACAAAGGCGCGGCTGGGGACGAGGAGGAGGAGGAGGGTGACTATCATTTTGCAGGCTCGCCGGGGGGAGGCCCCCGACCGGCCCGCCGCCCCCTCCCCCAGCTGGACCCTTCCAGGCCCAGCCGGCCGCGGCGGCCACCCCGGGCTGTGCTTTGGGGACGCCGAGGGAGGGGGCTCCGGGACTGGGGTGCTGCGGGCACCCGCTACCGTGCATTCGGGCTTCTCGGCCGAACCCCGGGCTTCTGCACGCTTCCCCGGACAATCGGCTGCGCCCCCCCTTCTCTCTTGGCTCGGGACCCCGGGACCTGGGGGTCAGCAAGGCTGGTCCCGCATTGGATGGGGGCGCCGGGGGGCCCGGAGGTGATGGGGTGTGCGGTCACCCAGCCACCGATTCTGTTTTCCTTTGTCGAGAGAAAGAAAGGGGTGGGGGTTATTTACCAGATCGGATTCTCCCATGTCTGCGTGTGGGAATCCGTGTTTTGCAAGTCTCTGTGGAACAGAAAACTATGTTTGTGCTGGGTGTCTGGCGAGAGGGGACTGCCGGGCGCCTCTGCACACCCAAACTCAAAGCGGGGTGAGCCCCCTCCCCAACTTTTCCCCTAGTTCTCTTCCATATTTTCTTCTTGGTGCAGGCGCCCTCGGGGAGAATTTGGGGAGAGGGGAAGGGAATCCAGAGGGTCCAGCTTGCCCCCAATAAATGCCTGTTTGGGGCTGCTCTGCCTTCGTGTCCAGGGTGTCCCTCCGATTTTTATTTTAATGGTCCAGTGACAAGGGCCCTGGCTGGAGGGGGCAGGGAGTGAGAAAGCTGCCCTGCTCTGTGCTGCTTGGTAGTTTGTCTAATTTTTTTAACCAACTGAAACTCCGGAATCTCCATGTCCACCTTTTTTTTTTTTAACTTCATTTACAGCCCGGCCCCCGCCCCCCACCATGGAGAAGCAGCACAGAGCTGGAAAGCCTCTCCCAGTCCTGACTCAATCCTTTCTTCTCTCCTCTGGGAGGGGGGCTTTTTGGGGGACACTGCTGGCACAGCCAAGGCTCTGCTAGCGTCCGACCTCCGAGTGTGGGAGAGGCCATGTGGGGTTTGGGTGGCCAGCACAGAGCAGTGGTGCCCACCTGTGGGGTCATTGCTGGCACCCCCTCTTCTCCCCTTCCCTGCCCACAGCCCGGCGGGTGGGGGGGGCTGGGGGTCATGTGCAGTGTATTTATGTAAGACTCCCAGGCGGAGGGCATGGTATTTATATAACCCGGTGTGGGTATTTATGTAATATAGGATGCGGGTATATTTATGTGCCTTTCCTAACCTGCGGCTTTCCCGGCTGCCATGTGTGGTCTCTGAATTGGCATTGGCGGAAAACGGAATGGGGGTGTGTGTGTTTGTGTGTGTGCACACCCGCTGGCCCCCCACCCACCCCCTGTGGAGCTCACAGTGTGTGTCTGCTTTTCTTCCTTCCTTTGGAGTGTACACACAGGAGAGTGTGTGTGTGAGGTGTGTGGCATGTGAGTTCCCTGCAAATGTGGAGTGTGTTCTGCTGGCAGCCATGGTCCCTCAGCTGGGACCAGCCAGGCGTGTGGGCAGAGGCCCTTGGGTGAGAGCCCAGAGTTTGGCCTGCCCGGGTGGAGGCTACTTCCTCGTGGCCATTGGTGAAGGGCTTGGTGGCAGCTACCCCGGAGCTAGATGCTGGGGCTGGATGTCTCTCCTGTGCAGGAGCTACGGGCTCCTTGCCTCTGCCGAGGGGGCGAGCTGCAGCCTGACAGAGTGTGGAATCAGTCTCTGCCCTCCCAGGTGGGTCTGGCTTTTAGGGGTCGCACTTGGCATGTGGAAGCGGCAGAGCCCCTGTGCCTAGCACAGCTGTTTTTCCGTCTTCCTGTTTTGCCTCCTGCCCCTGGCATGAAATAAGTGAGTCCTGTTTGTGAGGGTGGGAGGCAGCCAGGTGGGGCAGCGGGATCCTAGTGTGGGTCCTAGGTAAGGAGACTCTGCCACTGAATTGTGCTGGGGCGTGTGGGGCGGGTGGCATGGCCTCTCTGGGCCTGAGTGCCCTGTCTGCAGAGGGAGGCCCCTCTGGGTAGTTTTCTACACTAGCCCTCTTGTAGACACTCTGAGATCTTAGGGGTCCCCCATCCCTCCCCGTGAGTTGGGGAGGAGACCTCTCTCCTGCAGGGCACATTGCAAACTGGCAAGATCTGGCCTCTGGGAAGACCAGGCCACACTGGGGAGGACTGCCCTCCACTTGTTGGTGCTAGAAGCCTGGAGTGGAGATGCGGCGGGGGGACCCTGGCATTTCTGAGTCCTAAAGGGCCTGTGGAGCCCCTTTGGGGTCTTCCGTTCGTCTCGTCCTGTCCCCTGGCGATTGGAACTTGCTGGCGGTTGCCATGGTAGCACCCCCAGGATGATCAGCTCCTGTGTCCCCCCTTTCTGTCACCCCCTTTGTCCTTGATTTTCTTTTCAGGGTCTTGGCCATTGTGACTGGCCTGCCCTTGAGAGGCTCCTGTTGGAGGGTCCCCAAATGAGTGCCCCCCGCCCCCAAGGTGCTGGCTTGGCTGTTTCTTTCCAGGCCTGGTCTCCAGTTCCACCTTCTGCCTGGCCATGCAGGCACCTGTTCTAAGCTTGCCTCAGCTATTCCCTACGTGAGTTGGGGGGTGGGGGGGGGGTCACCTGATACCTGGTTGCCCCCAGGCAGTACGAGGTCAAATCCCTTCCTGGACAGTGGGAGGGAGAATGTTGGTCTCCCAAGGTCCTTGTGGCTTTGCCTGGCCTTTGGTGGGGGCAGGCTGGGGTCCAGCAGCCCATGCCCCTTTCCCAGCTCCCTGCTTCTCTGACCTCAGTGTGTCTGCTTCCCTCCGCAGCAAGAGTGAATCATGGAGCTACGTGTGGGGAACAAGTACCGGCTGGGACGGAAGATCGGGAGCGGGTCCTTTGGAGATATCTACCTGGGTGAGTGTTCCTGGTTCCAGCTCAGTGGTTCTGGAACCTGTGGGACAGCTCTGGGGACAAGGAAGAGGAAAGATGCTGAGATTTGGGGCTCTGAAGTTGGAACTTGGTTCTGGAGCTTCGGTGGCATGCTTTGGTCATTTTGTCTCCAGGGCCACTGCAGGTGGCAGGGAAGCAGCAAGTTGCGGGGGAGGCAGGCACAGGGGCTCCTCACACAGTCAGGGCCAGGCGGGGTTCCCACTTGCTGCAGGCTGGCCAGAGGGGAGTATTTTTAGCTCTGCTTTCCAGCAGCAGATGACATGGGTCTCTAACTGGGCGTGGGAAAGCCCAGGCTGAGTTTGTGCCCCTGTGTCTAGCCCCCTGGGAGAAGGATGCTGGTTGACAGAAGAGGCCTGGGCTACTGCTTGATCCCAGCTAGGTCCCCTCCCTGTGGTCCAGTCTACTGGAATTCAGCCCAGGCACATTTTGGAGTGACGCAGGTGGGGAGGGGGGTTCTTAGCTTTTAGGATCTCTCTCCGGATGTGCTTCCTGTTGAAAGTCTGAGTTTGTTCTCATGTTGTCATTTTAAATGCACTGCTTGCATCTTGCCCCTGTCCTCGACCCGGGAGAAAGGGGGCCCTTGCCTTTGAATGCCGCCCTCTCAGCTGCCGGAGGGACAGAGTCAGGAGTCCCGGCCTTCTCGGGCACGTGTTGGTCTGGAGGGGAGACACTGTGTTGGTCTTGAATTGGAGTTGTTTGAGCAAGGTGGCTCGTGCCTGGGGTTTATCCTCATTCCTGTCCCGTGCCCTTGGAAGCACCTCTGCCTCTGTTTCCCTCTTTGGAAAAGGAGAATAAACCAGTTCTGTCCAGGGCAGAGGAAACTGACAAGTCAGTGTGCCATGCTTGTGATTCAGAGCTCGGGGCTTCTCTTACCTGGTGACCTGGGTCCCTGCGCTCCTGGGGCATGGCCTCTGCTTCAGTGAGCCACCCCCTCCCCCATCCGAGGGGACAGGGAGCGGGTGCGCACCACTTGGTGCCGGGCGGGGCCCCGTTTCCCTGTGGTCTCCCCTCATAGCAGCCTCCAGAGATGGAGCCGTACTATTCTCGCTTCACACGTGAAGAAACAGGCAGTGTGGCCATTTGTCCGCCCGAGGGCTCTGTCGAAAACTAGAGAAGGCAGCCTTTAGACCCACAGCCATCCACGTCACTGAGAGAGTGTAGAAGACAGAATGTGGGAGGGTGACCTGTGGCAGACCCAGGTTCCAGACCTGGCCTTGTGCAGCCACTCTGCGCTCAGTGTCCCCGTCTCTCAGGTTTACATGACGATGGTGCCTGGCTGACTGAGGGCTGCCTTGAGGCACCGATGAAATGACGATGGGAGAGCATCACGTCAACTGTACAGTGCCGGGCAGATGTGCACTTCACTGCAGGCACCTGGTAGGTTACCCTCCTGTAAACGCCGTCAGAGCTCAGAGCAGAGGGAAGAAACAGTGCAGGCTGGAGCTGTCTTAAAGGTTTCCTCTGTGGCTCCAAGGCTCCTTCAGGGGAGGTGACACCCCAGTGCCCAGCAGGTGGCTTGGCTGCATTGGGTGTTCAGAGAAGGCCTGTCGCATGAACCAGTGAGGAAATGAGGGTTGTAATGTGCAAAGGCCTGTGAAGAGGCCTTCCTTAGGGCAGGATAGAAGAAGGTTGGGGTTTGGGGGCAGGTCCAAGTTCAGGTTCCCAGTGTACTTCTCGTTTGCTCTGTGACCTGGGATAAGTCACTTTCTCTCCCTGAGCTTCAGCATTCCCATCTGTGAAAGGGAATACTTATCTTCTTATTGTCTGAAATTGGAGTGGGTATCAACGACCCTTTTACCATGGAGGCTCTTGGGCTTAGGACTGAAGCCTGGAGCCACTGGCTTGAAGGCAAAGGGCGTGGACAGGCAGCTTTGGGCACAGATGCACACCTGCTCCTAGACAAAACCTAGTCTGGAGCTAACGTCTGCTACCAATCCTCCTCTTTTTGCTGAGGAAGACTGGCCCTGAGCTAACATTGTGCCCATCTCCCTCTACTTTGTACGTGGGACGCCTAACACAGCATGGCCTGCCAAGTGATGCCGGGTCCACACCGGGGAGCCGAACTGGCAAACCCTGGGCCACCGAAGCAGAACGTGTGCACTTAACCACTGCGCCACTGGGCCGGCCCCATAGGGCCTTCTTTTTGCAGAAGGGAAACTGAGGCCCAGAGAAGGGGAGGGGCAGCCCAGGGCCATTCAGAAAGCCAGTGTCTCTGGTCTGTGTGGTGGGACCTCCCTGGAGGCAAGGCTTCTGCTAATCTAGTAGTCATCTAGTTCATTTTAAAAACTAGGTCCAGATTTACTCCTCTTTGTACAGGCTCTGGAGTAAATTCTACAGGGTTTAGGTGCCGGCCTCTCTTTTACCAGCTGTGTGCCCTTGAGCACATGATGACCTCGGCCAGCCTTGGCTTCTCCATCTGTGAAATGGGGTCGTGAGTGTGCAAAACATGTGCACCTTCTGGCCCAGCAGGAGTGCTTATGTGTCCCTGCCACCCGTCGGTCTCGGTTGGGATTTGCTGCTGTCACAGGGTCTGGGTCTTCTCGGGCTTGAGCGGGGGTGGACAGCCAGTTCTCCCTGACTGTCCAGCCTTCGCCGGCTAGATGGGCATTGGGGCCCTGGCCTGACATCGTGTCCTGCCAGCTCCTTCCTGGGCCCCTGTCTTGCTGGTGTGGGGAAGGACGGTGGTGATTGGAGGGCCTCCCCGGCTGGCCTCGCTGGCTCCCTTTGTTCACAGTGCTGGCCACGTTCTTGTCGCTGGTGCCAGTGCCAGGGCCTGACTCCAGATGGCCTCTGCAGGTGGCCTGGGCGCGGCCTCCAGGCCCTGCTTTCCAGGATTGACTGAAGGCAAGCACATTGTGGCTGAAGCTGCAAGGCCCACAGCTCCTCTTCGGGTCCCTCTGCCCCCTCCCCTCAGCATCATAAGGGGACAAGCTAGGAGTGGGATCTGCTTTGTTAGGGCCTTAAGTTGGCTGCCTGCGGTCCAGAGGTGGCCAAGCCTGTCCTACTCTACCAATCAGCGGCCGTGCACCTAGGGAACTCTCCAGACCTCTTAGACTCTGGTCCTCAGTTCTAAGTGGGGAGGGAATGTTGCTCCCTAACAGGTGGTTGTGGGGGGGCTTCATCCCCTGCTTCCCGTCCAGCCAGGTTCGTGATCACGTCTGTGTCTCTGTGGGGGGGTCCGAGTGAGCTGGCATGTCAGGTTGGTCACCTCCCTCCCACCCCTCCCAGAGCTTCCCAAGGTCCCAGACCCTCCAGGGCTGGCCAGGTCCAAGCTCTTCTCTGTGTCTAAGTTTGTTTTTCAGACTGGCCCGTCACCTCGTAGGACCCCTGTATCTAACTGATGGGCCCTCCCACCACCCCTGCCCTGACACTTGTCGCTTAGTCAGAGGTATGCTTTCGTGCTCCCACTGAAGGTAAACTGAGCTGCTCCAGGGTGGGGCTGCCTCATCTGGTCCAGGGCTCAGTATGTGTCTGTTGATGGAATGAAGGAGCTGCTAGGGAATTGGAAGAGAGAAAAAAACAGGGCTTTGGAGACTAAGTTTCAAATCCTGACTCTGCCCCAACCAGTTCTGCGTGACCTCAGGCCAGTTACTTAACTTCTCTGAGTCTCAGCTCAGTAGTTGTGAGAATTAAGGGAGATCAGAGAGAGGACTGGCAGCTTCCTGATAGAATTCAGAGGGAGCGAAGGGGTCTGGTGATGGTGGGACCCATTGCAGAAGGCAGCTGTGGCAGCATTCTTTGCTCCATGGGGGTCAGAAGACTTTGCCTAACTGCTTATGTCCTTGTCCCTGGGAAGTTGTGTGGCACTTAGTCATTGCCGTTTGGTGTCTCAGTTTCCTCATGTGTCAGACAGATACGAACAGTCGTGTCTGTAGGAGGCGGTGAGAGGTCACAGGGCTAGGGGGTCCTCCTGCCTCCCCCTCCCCGTCTCGGGGAAGGGCCTTCTCCCCAGGACCCTCCTCCCTGCACATGTCCACTGCACCCTCGGTGCTGCCCCTCAGTGCTGCAGGCCCCGCCTCCGAAGTGTCGCTGGCTCTGCCTCCAGCCTGGGAGGCGCCGTCAGCTCTTGTCTGGACAGCAGCAGCAGCCTCCGTCTGGGCCCCCCCTCCCCCTCAAGTCCTCTCCAGTCCCTTCTGAAACCCCAGTGGGTCTCGACAAGGGGAAGGAGGGCCGGACTTCGTCCCACAGGGACATTTGGCTCGGTCTGGAGACATTTTTTGGTGGTTTCAACTCAGGGATGGGGGGGGATACTACTGGCAGCTCGTGGGTAGAGGTCAGGGGTGCTGCTAAACACCCTAAAATTCACAGGACGGCCCCACAGCAAAGAATTGTTGGGTCCCAAACATGAATAATACAGTGAATGAGAAGCCCTGTAATGAGGCGTCTGGCCCTGGCCCCTGGAGTCTTGGGCTCACCTCCCAGATCTTAGCTCAGCGTTTGAGACCCTCTGGTCTGTCGCTTGCCCGCCTCTCCCACTGTCGTCTTCAGCTGTCTTGGGCTCCACCCCGCACCAGGCCACTCAGAGCTCACCGCACCCTACTTGTCGGGCCTTTGCACATGCTCTGACCTTTGTCTGTCTGGCACAGTTGTGCTCACACTTTGGACCCCATGCAGCCTTTCCTCCCACTGGCCTACACATGGTCAACACACTGCGGGCTCACCTCTGAAACCCAGGGGCCCGCACTTACCAAACCTAACATTTGTTGACACTTACTTTATGCCCGGCACCTTTCTAAGCCTGTTTATACCTCAGAACTACCTAACGAGCTACATACTGTCATCCCCCGTTTACAGATGGGGAGCCCGGGGCACAGAGGGGTAAAAGGACTTGCCCAAGGGCCCCGGTTAGGAGGTAGCAGAGTCCAGATCTGAGCTCTGGAGCCCAGCCCTCGCCATGGCATCTCCTGCTCCTGCGCCAGCTGGGAGATGGGGCCCAGCCCGCAGACTCCAGGGAGCCCCGGTTCCCCTCCTGTGCCGCCTCCTCCCTGCACCCCAGAAATGTGTGCGCCTCTCCGCAGTGATGAGTGTTGATGTGTCAAAGCACTTTACAGTTTGCAGAGCACTTTCTCGTTGCTCACTGGATTTGGTAATCTATTTTATTTTTTTAATTTTATTTTATGTGGTTCAAAAATGAAAACGCAAAACCAAAAACATGCTAAGTGAAAGAAGCTCATCACGAAAGATCACATATTGTGTGAGTGCGTTTATAGGCAATGTCCAGAATCATGGAGGCAGGAAGTAGATTCGTGGTTGCCTAGAGCTGGGGGGTTGGGGGAGATGGGGAGTGACTCCTGAGGGGTACGGGTGCGTTGGATGGTGCGAATGTTCTGTATTTGATTGTTGTGTTGGTCGCACAGCCTTGGGAATACACTAAACCCACTGAACTGTCCACTTTAAAGGAGGAATTGTATAGTACGTGAATTACATCTCAACAAAGGCGTTAGAAAAAGTGACAGCACGTAACATGGTGTCCAGTGAAATGTCCTTCTCCCCTCCCCGCCCTGATCCACCTCGACCCCCACCCCCAGTCTTTACTGGCGTCTTGTGTTTCTTTTCAGTGTTTCCTTATGCAGATACAACCAAGCACACACACACATTGTATCCCTACCTTTTTTTTTTTTTTTTACTGAAAAGAGAGCGTAGACTACATACTGTTCTGTGCTTTGCTCTTTCACTTCCTGTATCTTGGAGATCTTTCCACTTCTGCACAGAGAGAGCTTCCTCATTCTTTTTCCATTGTGTTCCAGTTTATGGATGGGCCATTCTTTATTTGACCAGGCCCCAGAACGATGGCCATTTGGGTGGTTTTCAGGCTCTCGCTGTTGCAAACAGACCACAGCAGGCAGCCTGGTCCAGACCTTGTTTTGCACCATGTGAGGTTGTCGGTAAGCTCCTGAAGTGGAGCTGGTGGTGCCCGATCGCCCTCCCACAGGGGTTTACTGGTCACACCTGGACCACCGGGGGGGAGTGCCCACTGCCCCTCAGCCCTGCCCACAGACAACGTGTATTCTCTTATTGTGGGACGTTGGCCAACCGTAAGTGGAAAATGGCCTTTCAGGATAATTTTAGTTTGCATTTCTCTTATAAGGAGGTTGAGTATCTTTTCATATGAGTGAGCCATTTTTATATTAATGATTTCTCTCTCTGCTATGTGTCTGTCTGAATCCTTTACCTCCTTTCCTGTGAGTCGTTGGTCTTCTTCCTACTCATTTGTAGAAGCTTGTTATACGTTAGCGATACTAACTCTTGGCTGCTGCTAAGAGAACGAGTGTGTATTTCTTAGGACTTTGTTTCTATTGTTTTTGCCGTGGAGAAGGAATTCCTTTTTTTGGAGGGGAGGGAGCCTTTTTTTTTTTTTTAACAGCTTCTGGATTTTAAGTCAGGGATAAAAAGCCTTACCTACCCCAAAGTTGAAAGGCAATTTTCTCTTCTTTTCTTCTAATATTTCATTGTTTTATTTTTTATTAACGTTGAGTAGACACAAAAGAATACATATTAAATACGTGCATGTTATGAGGCACCCTTCCCACCACCCAACTGGAGGACACGCCAGTCACTTTGAAAGCCCCTGGTCCCCTCGCCTGCTTTCCCCTCACAGAGGTAACCACCATCTGACATTTTAGATGATTCTCTTTCATTACAGAGTTTTAGCACGTGTTTATATCCCTAAACTATAAACATTTGTGTTGCGTGTTTCGAAATTGAGACAAATAGAACTGTGGCTGTGTTCTTCTGTCTCTTCCTTCCTCTTTTTTTTTTTGAAAATTGAGGTGAAATTCGCGTAAGGTTAACCATTTAAAAAATACGCAATTCAGTGGGGTTTAGTATGTTCACAGTGCTATGCAACCACCATACCTATCTAGTTCCAAAATATTTTCATCACCCCGAAAGAAAACCCTGGAGCCATTAAGCAGGCACACCCCATTTCCCCCTTCCTCCAGCCCTTGGCAACCACCAGTCTACTTCCTGTCTCTAGGGATGTACCTATTCTGGGCATTTCATATAATGGAATCATAAGGTATTTGTCCTTTTGTGTCTGGCTCATTCACGTCCGCGTGGTGTCTCTGAGGTTCATCGATATTGCCACGTGTATCAGTACTCCGTCCTTTTTTATGGCTGGTATCCTATTGCATGGATAGACACATTTGGTTTATCCACACGTCCGTTCATGGACCCTTGGGTCGTCTCCCCCTTTTGGCCCTCGTGCATGGTGCTACTCCTTGCTCTCTTGTTCTCAGTGTTAAGATGCTGGGAGCTGCTGGTTGCTGCCTGCAGCCGTCGTCTGTTGCTTTGCACTGGCCCATGGCCTGCCTCTGTATGACTGCTTTACCATGTAGCCATTCATCTCGTGTTGGACACGTGGGTCACTTGTTCCTGTGTATGTTCTTGTGTCTTCCTGGTGCTCATGTTCCTGAAGGGCGTATACTTGGCAGTGGACTTGGTGGTCAAGGGTTTGTGTGTGTTCAGCTTTGCTGGATAGATGCCAACCTGGTTTCCAAAGTGGTTGTGCTAGCGTACACCCCATCGTTTTTTTTTTCATACAAACTTTGACTCTACTTGGGAATTTTTTTGGTGTATGGTGTCAGCAGTGGTGTCTTTTCTCAGATGGCTCGCCAGTTGTTTCAAGGACGTTTATTGCGTAGCCCCATCTTCTCCCCTGATTTGAGGGGCCAGCTTTATCCTATCCCTGATCCTTCAGTGCTGTGTCCTCCCCTCGACTTGCTGTCTCGTCTGTTGGTGTGCTAAGACCACACTTTTGTAATTACGGCAGCTACAGTCTGGCCCTGAGAGGGAGTGCCGTCTCAGCCTAGCCCCTAGCCCTCCAACTCTGCCCACCTGTTATTACAGCTGGGGAAACTGAGACAAGGCACAGTTTGGATTTGGGTCTTTCTTGTGACTCCTTGAGACAGGGTCATGCCCCACCTCGTTCTGTCCTCTGCAGCCTGATAACCCTACTGATGTCACCTCTCTCCAGCTCAGTGGCTCCCACTCTCTAGGACAAAGTTCTCCTCACTGGTCCAGTAACCGTCCCCCTTGCGTCTGGTCCAGCCTGTGGTTCTCTGAACCATCCGTGGGTCCTCACTCCTTCCCCTTCCACGGGCTGTGGTGCTCATGTTCCCCTCCCACCCAGGTCGCGTGGGTGCCGCTCTGCCCACAGCCCCCTCCGCTTCCCCTAGATACGGTGTGGCATCTGTGGCCTTTCCAGCCTCCCCCAAGGGGCGCTGGGCCGCTCAGGGTCAGACACTGAGTTGGTCCCCGCCCGGCCGAGGGTGACCCCGGGCCCTTGCTTCCCCTGGCCCTGGCAGGTGCCAACATCGCCTCTGGTGAAGAAGTCGCCATCAAGCTCGAGTGTGTGAAAACGAAGCACCCACAGCTGCACATCGAGAGCAAGTTCTACAAGATGATGCAGGGGGGAGGTGGGTACCGAGGGGCCCCAGGGTGGGGGGCGGGTGGCCTGTGGAGCTCTCTGCGTGCCTGCATCCGTGCCGGCCAGGGCTGGGCCTGGGGCTGGTCTGGGGTCTCGAGGGACTGCCCCTGACAGCCTCGCTTCCCCGCCGGCAGTGGGAATCCCGTCCATCAAGTGGTGCGGGGCCGAGGGCGACTACAACGTGATGGTCATGGAGCTGCTGGGGCCCAGCCTCGAAGACCTCTTCAACTTCTGCTCCCGCAAGTTCAGCCTCAAGACGGTGCTGCTCCTGGCCGACCAGATGGTGAGTGCCCCACCTCCCCACCCCGGCCAGGGGACTGTGGGCCCTGCCGGGCTCGCGGCTTCCCTTCCAACCTCTGCTTCTCTGTCGTGCCAAAGGGCACAGGGTACCAGCCCTGCCTTCTGCCTCTGGAGGATGCCGGAGCAGGAATCAGTGACAGGGACATAGGACAGGCCGGGTTCCTGGACCCAGGACCAGGGGACCTTCACTATCAGCTGTAGAATGGGAGGAGGGGGTTAAATGCAGATTCCCAGGCCCAGCTCCAGACCTGCTGGGTTGGGTTCTCCCAGTAGGGCCTGGGACTGTGCCCTTGGTGATTTTAAAGCCTCTGAGCACGCAGCCCTGGGTCCTGTCCCAGTGTGGTGACTGTAAGTGAGCTGCCGAGACTCTGAGCCTCAGGAGCGAGTCTTCCCTTTCCTGGTTGACGTGGGGTCCAGAGCAGGCGCCCACTGAGGAGCGACCCTTAGGTCCGAAAGCCCTTTATAAACTCAAAGGAGGGAAACTTGAAGAATTTAAAAGCATAGAATTTGGGGCCTAGAGTAGTACGTGGCGATCTTGTTACGCGGGGGTCTGGGTCTGCGGCTCGCCTGCAGACAGTCTGCAGACATCCTGCAATTTTAGGCGAAATGTGCGTGTGCAGAGAGGTCCTCAGAGTCTCGGGGGATGTGAGACCCAAACAAGGTTTAGGAAATATTCAGCCATCCAAACAAAGCCTTCGATTTACAGAAGCCTGAGGCCCAGAGACGGGACTGACCTGCCAGAGGGCCTATCGTGTACATCTGTTAAAGTTTTTAACAAATAGTTTAAAGGGAGAGAAGGCCTGTGTGTCTGCCTGACTGGTGTCTTCGGGAAGCCGGGGAGTGGATCCTGTCTTTCGTGCTCTTTCTGTGTCACCCCTGCCGGGTTTAGGCTTCCCTGGTGCTCCCTACCCTCCCCTTTCCCCCAGTCTGGTTGCCAGAACCACCTTCGAAATGCCTTTCTGACTCTGGCTCCCCAAGTCCTGTGAGGGTGTAGAGCCAGGCAGGCGAGACTACCTTTTGTTTTTCTTTTTGCCTTTTTTTTTGTTTTGTTTTGAGGAAGATTAGCCCTGAGCTAACAACTGCCAATCCTCCTCTTTTTGCTGAGGAAGACTGGCCCTGAGCTAACATCCGTGCCCATCTTCCTCTGCTTTATACGTGGGACGCCTACCACAGCATGGCTTTTGCCAAGCGGTGCCATGTCTGCACCCCGGATCCGAACCAGCAGACCCCAGGCCGTTGAGAAGCGGAACGTGCGAACTTAACCACTGCCCCACTGGGCTGGCCCCAAGACTTCATTTCTAGATCTTGCCTTTCTGGGCTTTATTTCTAGATCTTGCCGTTAGCTGTCCTACCTTGCTCTCCTCCTGTTTCAAAGCAAACTTGTTGAACTCCTCCTTCAGAATTCTTCTCTAATGTCACTTCCTCCAAGAAGCCTTCCCTGACCTGCCCCTTGAAATCATCTTACATAGTTGCAGGTGCATTTTACAGCGCCAGCCCTCAGCCCCTAGTCCCGGGCCTGGCCCAGAGTTCTTGGGCAGGTCCCTCGGTGGAATGCTTGCTGAATGATTTGCTGCCCCCTCCTCTCCCCTAGATCAGCCGCATTGAGTACATCCACTCCAAGAACTTCATACACCGAGACGTCAAGCCCGACAACTTCCTCATGGGGCTGGGGAAGAAGGGCAACCTGGTGTACATCATTGACTTCGGCCTGGCCAAGAAGTACCGGGACGCCCGCACCCACCAGCACATCCCCTACCGGGAAAACAAGAACTTGACTGGCACTGCCCGCTACGCCTCCATCAACACCCACCTGGGCATCGGTGCGTGAGGGAAGCCGGGAGCGAAGTGCACCCACAGGCTGCTGGCGGGACCCTGGCTTTCTGCAGCCTGGGTTTATTCCCCGGAGTTGCCACAAGTCGGGTCCTCCCCTTCACAAGCAGAGCTGCGGTGTGCCGAGCCCCTTCACATGCCGTGCTTCGACCCCGCGGCAGCCATGCAGAGGGCGGGGATGGGGCCCCATTCTTACCGGGTGGGAACCGCAGGCTCACAGGTGTAACACAGGTTGCTTAAGGTCGTGCACTTAGCAAGTACCAAAGACGGTTATGACCCCAGCCCTGTCTGATGCCACAGCCTGTGCCCTTTCCACAGCGTGGGCCAGGCAAGGAGGCACTGAGGTGCCTGCTATATAGTTGTTGAATGAATAAGTGCCCGAGCTGGAAAAAACTAGGCCCAGGTTGTATTGAAAAAGCTCAGCCTCAGGCCCCTTCTCTGTAGAAGAGGGTAATAACCATGCCTGTTTGTAGCCAGGTCGCAGCAAGCCAGCATGTGATAAGGGGGGGCGTCATGCTGGGTGCACAGGGTGACTGGTTCTCCTCAGTCAGGGGCATGTCCTAGAGGACGGGGTCCCAACCCGAGTGTCCAGGAGCCCAAGCGGACCCCACGCCTCACCTTGTCCTCGATTGACTCTCTGTGCAGAGCAAAGCCGTCGCGATGACCTGGAGAGCCTGGGCTACGTGCTCATGTATTTCAACCTGGGCTCCCTGCCCTGGCAGGGCCTCAAAGCAGCCACCAAGCGCCAGAAGTACGAGCGGATCAGCGAGAAGAAGATGTCGACGCCCATCGAGGTCCTCTGCAAAGGCTACCCCTGTGAGTAGGCCGGTGGGGAGGTCGTTAGCCTGGGGACCCCTGAGGCCCTTTCTAAGGGGAGGATGAGGCCACACAGAGTCCGTACTGGGCTACCACTGCCCCTGGCGCCAGAACGTTCGTCGCGGGCTCTCTGTCGCTGCTCGGGCGCAGCTGGCAGGCCTGGCTGTTACTTGCTGAGTCTGAGGAGACACTCTGGGCCGTCCTCCTCCTGTGAGTCTCCTTCACTCAACAGAACGCTTCATTCTGACACTTCCGGTCACGAAATGTGTGGGGTCGCCCCCGACCCCCCAGCAATTCTCTGTGACGTGAGCTGGGTGTCCTACAGTTAACTCAGTTCTGATGTTACCTACCTGGAGACAGCCTCAGCTCCTGCAGGTTCAGGGCTCAGTCCCGCAAGACTCTTCCCACCCCACTGGAGACAACAACCGCAAGTCCAGGTCCGACGGGCTATAAATGGGGCTCCCTGACCCCCTCAGGCTTGATTAACTTGCCGGAGCGGCTCACGGAGCTCAGGAAAGCACTCAGGTTTACCATTGATTAAAGGATGTGACAACGGCTACGGATACGCAGCCAGATGAAAAGGCACAGGGGGAGGTCTAGGAGGGTCCTGGGCGCAGGAGCTGCTGTCCCTTCTGTCCCCATGGAGCTGGGGTGTGTCACCCTCCCTGTGTGGATATGTTCACTAACCTGGAAGCTCCTGGAGCCCCATTTTATTGGGACTTGTGTGGTGGCTTCATCACGTAGGCTTGAACCAAGGTTAGCTCCGTTCCAGCCCCGTCCCCTCACTAGGGGAGTGGAGGAGGGACTGAAAGTTCCGAGTTTCTTTCTTTTTTTTTTTTTGAGGAAGATTAGGCCTGAGCTAACTACTCCCAATCCTCCTCTTTTTGCTGAGGAAGACTGGCCCTGAGCTAACATCCGTGCCCATCTTCCTCTACTTTATATGTGGGATGCCTGCCACAGCATGGCTTGCCAAGCAGTGCTATGTCCGTACACGGGATCCGAACCGGCGAACCCTGGGCTGCCGAAAAATGGAATGTGCACACTTAACTGCTGCGCCACCGGGCCGGCCCCAAGTTCTGAGTTTCTAATCATGGCTTGTTCTCCTTTGAATGACCAGCCCCCACCCAGGAGCTCACCCAGGGTCGCCTCATTAGAACAAAAGAAGCTGCTAGCGCTCCTGCCACTTAGGAATTTACAAGTGTTTTAGGAATTTGTGTCAGGGGTGGAATCAGAGGCCAAACATTAGAATAAGAGGTGCTCCTGTCACTTAGGAAATGACAAGGGTCTCAGGAGCTCTGTGCCGGGAACCGGGGCAGAGACCAGTACATAGATTTTCCATTATCTCACAGAGGCCCTCTCCCGCCCTTGCTTGTTGGTAGAGAAGATGGAAGCTTTCCTCCGGTGGCTTAGGCCATGTCAGGGGTTCCGTGAGCCTCTGGGCTGTCCTTTGAATTTATGACAGCTCTTGATCTGCCGTCTCCATGATCCCCAGAACCCTTGGCAAGAGCAGGTGAAGAGCTGTGAACTGGGGCCCTGCGGCTCCCGCTTGCTCTTTGTTCCCTGCTCTTCATCTGTTCCTGTCGAGTCCAGAGGCTCTGCTCTCCAGCAGGGTGGCGTTATCACCACAGGGAGGACCGTAGCGCTGTTCTCTCTCCATCTCGCCCCGTCTTAGATTGAGAGTGTCCGTAGGGACAGTGAGTGGGTAGGATGGCTCTGGCTGCTGGGGACCCTGCAGCGTGGGCCTCACAGTGGCCTCTTCTGTCCCCTGTAACCCCCACCAGCTGAGTTCTCAACATACCTCAACTTCTGCCGCTCCCTGCGGTTTGACGACAAGCCCGACTACTCCTACCTGCGCCAGCTCTTCCGCAACCTCTTCCACCGGCAGGGCTTCTCCTACGACTACGTCTTCGATTGGAACATGCTCAAATTCGTGAGTCCCCTGGAGGCCGAGGCGGGCTTGGGGGCCTGGACGGGGAAGGCTCTGGCTCAGGACGCCAGGGTGACCCTCTGGTGGGCGGGGCTCCCGGAAAATGGGAGCTATGAACTGGACAGTGCAAGAGACCTCACTGGGGTCCCAGAGCCCCCGCGCTTCCCCCACCGCAGCCTCGTCAGTGCTGCCGGCACGTGCCACCGTAGTCAGCAGGGCCCAGGCGGGGCGCTGCCTCCCGTCAGGCCCAGGAGGACCTGGCTGGGCCTCGAGTCCTTCCTGGGCGCCTGTGGCAGGGCGTGGATGGCTTTGGCGGGCCCCCCTGCGGTCTTGATCACTGTCTACACCATCCTGCTCTTGCTCTGCACATCCCAGGCGGCCACCTTCACTGCCGCCCCTCTCGCCAGCCTGGACCCATTCATTGTTGTTTCTTTCTTCCTGGTCATGGGACCCTGGGTCTTGCTAGGCGGCTGTTCTGTCTCCCTCTTGTAAGGGTCTTGGGGTGGGGTAGGGAGAAGCATTCGTCGGCTGTACCCAGAACTCTGGAATCTGTGAAATTGTGTCTTGTTTCGCATCTCTTCTGGAAAAGGGGCCTTCTTCGAGCCAGGCTCGGCCCCGTGACCGCGAAGCTATTGCACTGCCCTGCCCCCGCCCCTGTCCCTGTGCTGGGCCCACGTACCCACCCACATACTGGTAAGGACCCTCCAAGGCCTGGCATTTCTAAGATTTACCACTTGGCCAGGTGAACACAAAAGACTGAGCCTGTGCTGTGCTCTCTGTCCATTCCAGGTGCCCGGCGCCCCTGGGCACCCAGGGTCCTCCAGATAGGCCCGTGGAAGAGGTGGAGGAGCTGCCCCCCCCAAACTACTGGCCTGTGGTCTGGACTCCAGGGCCCCAGTTCTGATGTCACCAGGTCTGCCCAAGCCCGTCGGGGCCAGGCCTGAGGAGGCGTCCCTTGGTGTGGTGGGGGTGCCGTGGAAGAGGGTGTGGCGGAGGAGGCCCTGCCATGAGACGCTTGGAGATGCAACAGCTGCCTGATGGACAGAGCCTGAAGGAGGGGGGATGGTCACTGCCCTGGAGGGGCCTGGTGGGCGCAGCACCAGGAGCAGCCTCAGCCAGACCCCACGCGTGGCCTCTGTATTGAACCTGAACTCATTAAATGCCCCCACATGTCCTGTACTCATCCTGGTGTGCCTCTCCTTTTGTAGCGGTGCTCTCTGCCCGCTCTGCCAGATGCACAGGACAAGGCCTCGTTCTCCTGGACGTGGGGGTTGGCACTTGGTGTCATGTCCCTCTTCTCTCTGTGTCTCAGACAGTGGGCTTAATACTGTTCCTTAAGGTGGGACCCTAGGGGTGGGGTGGGAGATGGGCAGTGGGCTACCTCTCACCCAGACCTTTTGGCTAGGAGCACGGCCAAGGCCGCGGGCCAGCTCCTCTCGTCACAGGGCATTGCTCAGGGCATTCGGGCCCTGGGCACTCGCTCATCTGGAAGGAAAGTCGTTTCCGGAGTCTAGTTCTGTGGTGGATTTGGCTCTTGGCCATACAGCTCCAAGAATGGGTTTTGTGTTGTCTAGGCCTGTGCCATCCAATATGGTAGCCACTGGCTACATGTGGCTTAATTTAATTAATTCAAATCAATCGAATCTGAAAATGTCGTTCCTCAGTCACATTTGCCACATTTCAAGTTCTCAGGGGCCACGGGTGCCTGGCTAGTGGCTGCCATATGCAGCAAGGCAGATGGGAACATTTCCATCATCACAGAAGCTTCTGTGGGACAGTGCCACTCTGGATGGCTCATCACAGAGCATCTCATGGGACCATCCCGCCAACAAGATCTTGTCTCAAGCCAGGCCAAGAGCACCCTCCACGCTCTTTGCTGGTACTCTGACCCCTTCCTGGGGTCCCCTTTTAGCCAGGCTCTGGAGTCAGAAGCTGAGCAGAAGTGCCCAGCAACCTTATGCGGCACTGATCTCTGCCTTGAAGGCCGTTGGACTGGATATGTGAGCACCTTTGACTTCATCACCACGTGGTGGAAGCATCTGCAGACATGCAGTGGGGACCTTCCACACTCTCACCCCAAGGCCAGGCCCCTCCCACGTCACCCCTGCAGAAAGCCTTCACCAGCACCTGCCAGTAGACTGGACAGTGCTGGGCACCGTGGGCTGCAGACTCTCCTGTGGGAAGGGTCTCATGCTTGCCTGAGAGCTTCCCTCCTTGGAGTGGCCACCCCAAATCATTTGGCATCAGGACCCTGGAATCCCAGGATCCCTGGAGCCTGGGACACTGCTCGCAGCACACGGAGCCACTGTGTTCCAAGGTCCAACCAGCCGGCCAGGAGGAAACTCAACACAGCCCAGGACGTGTCCACACGACATGGGTGGTGCTTGTGTGACTTTGATGTTGACCTTTTGTGTTTTCTTGTGGGCAAATAAAAGCCAAGAGACCTCCCTGGAGTGCGTTTCTTGAGGCGTCAGTTGGGTTGGATGGAAATATGGAGAGTGGCTCACCTTCTGCCTCGGGGCTGGCGTTGGCTTCAGCCTGCTGGGGTCACAAAGGGCAGGGGATCCGGCCCTCAGCTCAGCCGCTGGCCCCGGGGCTGTGCAGCTCTGAGCCAATCACTTAGCCTCACTAAGCCTCAGTTTCCTCAACCAGGGAATGAGTTCATATGTGCCTTGCAGGGTGGATGTGCCCCTTGCCTGCAGAGCTGTGATGAGCGGGTCCTCCAGCTCCTAGTGCACAGGTTTTGCTGTGCTTCTGGCTGAGTTGCTCTCTGCCAGCCTGTAACTGAGTGGGTGTGAGCCCAGGGAGGACCAGAGGTCAGGAGGTGGAGCCCTGGTGGTTCCAGGCCTGCCTGGACAGGCTTGTGGGTGGGAGGACTGGGGATGTGCGCCCCTAAAATGTTCTGCTGAGTCCTTTGGGGATGCAGAGAACAGGCAGGACTGGGTAGCAGAGGCCTAGGTTCTGACCCCAGTCCTACCCTGAGCTGTGTGACCCCAGGCAGGTCATGAGGGCTCTCTGGGCCTCTGTTCCTCACTAGGATTCAGGGATCATTATGATCCCCAGCCACTTCTTCCTCGAGTTGCTTAAAGGCAAGGGCCACCCCCGCTTCTCAAGGACACCGGGCCTTCTTGGCCAGTTTTCTGGGAGAGACACAGGGTTGCAGGAGCCTGAACCCCATGACCCGTGAGCAGGCCCCAGACTCAGCCTGCAGCTCTCTCCTCCACAGATGCGGCCCCCCTCATGCCAGCCCCCCGCCCTTCCCTGTGGACGACCCCAGGACCAACTAGGTAACGCGGCAGGTGCTACTCCCACGCCGTGCTCTCCTCTCTGGGCCTTTCTCCTTTCCTCCTGCACAGGGGGGTGGCAGTGGCTGGAGGGCAGGGCCTCTGGGGACTCATGCACCCCTTCTGCCCCAGCCTGCCTGCTGGGCCTCTTTTTCCTCCATGGGGCATCTAGCTTGTTTCTTCTCCAGCTTCCCCAAGCTCTCGTCTTGTCCCAGGGCAGGCAGCATCTGTGTGGGTCCCCTGAACCTCCTGGTTGTGGCCCCCACAGCACCTGCCAAAAGCCATGGCCATGGCCAGGTCCAGGGGCAGGGGAAGAACCACATTTTGCAAAGATCCGCCAGCTGGGCACTGGGAGACCTGTTCAAGTCCTGGCCCCTTCAGCTGGCCTTCTAACTTCCTCTCTGGGCTTCTGAACACCTGCCCTGCTCTGTTTAGAAACCTTGAGGAACCGAGAGCTTCTGGACACAGGGGCCCAGGTTGGGAGAGCCAAGGAGCGCCCTTGGTCATCCCCGGGGCATTAGTCCTCCCTGCTCCAATTCCGGCCCCACGAGACCAGGGCAGAGTGACCTCCTGCCTCTCAGATCCAGCTTCCTCCTTCCTCTGGGCGGCTCTGTGGTTTGTTTCTCTATGCTTGTGATCGGGGGTCATTTCCAGGCCTCTTGGGCTCCCAGCTTTGTGGGGAAGAGGTTGGACCAGGGGGTTTCTGAGATGCCTCTTCCCTGAGATGCCCACCTGGCCTCCCTCCTGTCTCTGCCCGGCGGGAGTCTTGGATTCTGGAGCACCCTGATCCTGAAGGGCTGACCAGGTCTCATCTTGCCTCCCCACAGGGTGCAGCCCGGAACCCCGAGGATGTGGACCGGGAGCGGCGAGAACACGAGCGCGAGGAGAGGATGGGCCAGCTCCGGGGGTCTGCGCCCCGGGCCCTGCCCCCTGGCCCACCCACGGGGGCTGCCGCCAACCGGCTCCGCAGTGCTGCCGAGCCTGTGGCTTCCACCCCAGCCTCCCGCATCCAGCAAGCTGGTGAGCAGGGACCTCGGGCAGTGGGCTGGGCCCGAGGGAGGCCGGGGCTGCCCAGGCCCTGGACTCTGAGGGTGGCTTCCCCCTGCCTTGCCCTCCAGGCAATACTTCTCCCAGAGCGATCTCACGGGTCGACAGAGAGAGGAAGGTGAGCATGAGACTACACAGGGGCGCGCCCGCCAACGTCTCGTCCTCCGACCTCACTGGGCGGCAAGAGGTCTCCCGGATTTCAGCCTCACAGGTGAGCTGCCCCCACTCCAGCCCTTCTCTGCCTCACAGCTGAGCCAGAGACCCCGGGCTGGCGTCAGGCCCCGTGGTTCCCTTCTTTCCTCTCTGCTGATGCTCTCTAATAACCTTGGAGCAAGCCCCTTCTGTTGAACAGGGACCTGGCCTCATTCATCCTCTGTGGTCTGATTAGCCCCGTTGAGCAAAGTCAGGAGTAACTTGCCCCAGCAAGTGGTAGAGCTGGGATCCAGCCCTCCAGCCGGGGGCCCAGCCTGGTTGGGCAGCAGGGAGCTCACAGAGGAGGGGCTCATGGTCCCTGCCGAAAGGGAGTCCCCCCATGGGTGCCAGTCAGCACAGGAGTGAGGGGTGGGTGGATCCTGTCTGGTGGCCCCACTCAGGGGCCATATTTGGACTAGGAAAGTTGGGAAGGGGGACTCTGTGGTTGCCCAGGGAAGGCGTCCGGCAGAGGTGGGCAGGAGACCTGCTCTGGTCCTCCTGCCTGCGGTGGAGGAGCCCCATCAGGACACGCTGGGAGGCGGGAGTCTGGCAGTCCAGTTCCTGTGTGGCCCGGAGCAGCAGCTGCTTTGACTCTGGGCAATCTTCTTATCTACAAAGCAGCGACGTCCTAGGGTCATTTGGACCACACACCCTTCCGTTGGCTTGAGGGGCCTGGTGGGGGCGGGTGTGGAGCTCCACAGTGGGGAGAGAATTGCCACATTGCCATTGGCAGCAGCTTATTCCCCTCCCCCCGTTTGCCTCCCGCTCAAAGACGAGCGTGCCATTTGACCATCTCGGGAAGTGAGGAGGACCCGCCATTGGACCAGTATTTGCTTAGGTGAGTTGATGTGTGCTGCAGACGCGGCCCGGCTGTGTGTAGAACCCCACGGCCCCAGGGGGAGACCAGTGTGTGTTGTGGAGGGGTGGGGGGAGTGGCAGATGGTGCCAGGGATCCCCAAAACCAAAGATCTTCAAGGGACATTAAAACCTCAGAGCCTGCCTGACTGAGGGCCAAGGCCTCCTCTGAGCTGGCCTGGCCCGAACTGGTTAATTTCTGCTGGAAAACCCTTTCTCTGCCCTTGGGCCAGTCCTCCATCCCCCACTCTGCCTTCACATTCTGGAAAGTTGTTTCCTAGCAAAGACTGAGCCCAGGGGGCCCACACCTTGACACCCCCTCCCCACCCACCTTAGCCCAGTCTCAGCCTCTGGGCTGTTAAGTACATTAATTCATGCAAAGCACTTAGAAAGGGCCATGAACTTAGGAGTTTCTCTGCTGTCAGAGAAGGTCCTCAGTGGCCTCCACAAGCCCGGGAGAGGCCCCTGGCCAGTGTGAGCCTGATGGGACTTCCAGGCTGCAGGTGGCCTTGAGGGGGAATGTGGCAGCTCTGGCTTGGGGACGGGGGGCATGGCAGGGGGCTCTTGGGTGAGGCGAGGTCTGAGCTCCCTGGGGTATTTGTACATGGACAGGCAGCAGTTCACATTTCAGGGAGCTCAGCTGACTTGGCCGCACACTAGGACATCCTGAGTATGATTTGCTTTGTGGAAATTCATTCCACAGTTAGAGCTGGGACATAGAGCGGGGCTCACCTTCGTCAGATCTCAGGCCCAGGAACCAGTCCATCCCAGCAGGGCAGGGCAGATGTGTGGCTGGGGGTGACTGTTCACCAAGATGGCACAGGAGAGAGAGATTCTGCGTCCTACCCGTGAAAGTCAGGCACCTGCTGTGTGCCCCAGAGAGGGACCCACTCAAAGACTTGGGACAATATAGGAGCTGCGGCGGGCTGGTGGATGGGTGGCCAGAGGCAAATGAGGATCTGATCTGTCTTCTTTCTCCCCCTTTTTAGTGTCTTCACTGTATTTTCTTTTAAAAAACAACAACAACAAAGATGGGAAAAAAAACCACTCAAGAACAAAAAGAAAAAACCCAGCACAAAACCGACGATGGATTTTGTTTCTTTGATTTTTCTTTTCTTTTCTTTTTGTTTTTTTTTTTTTTTTTGCCAACGGTAAAAAAATGGGATGCCCTCAGCACAGAGGATTCTTGTCACTTTGCATTTCCCACTGCCCACAACCTTTAGGCTGCCAAATGCTCCCAGACACTGTGCTACACGTGCCGGACGCCGAGGCCTCACCCCCGCCGACCTGACGCTGGCTGGGAGGGATGCGGCCTTCCTCCCCTGCCATCAGGAGGTGGCCTGAGCGCTGCGGGGATGATGTGGTTGGTCAGAGGAATGGTTTGGCTGGTTGCAGCCAAGTCCCACTGGGTGCTGTCTTGAGCCTCAGGACCACAGGAGACAGGCACAGCCCCCACCCCTTCAAGGTGACGGTGGCCGGCTTTCTGTGTTGGGCTTTTTCCAGTGTCCCCCTGAGTGTCTGGGTCCCTCCTTTGCCTCTCCATGGAGACTTGAGGAGTGGGTGGCAAGGCAGTAGGGCCGAGATTCCCTGTGTGCGTGTGTATACGTATCCGACCTGTACCTCCCAGGACAGCAGGTGCCCCACCCCACCTGCCAGGCTGAATTTCTGTTCTCATCCCCTAACAAGGACACGGAGGTGGGCAGTGACCTCCACATCCCTCAAGAAGGGCGCAGAGGGTCCTCGCCACCACTGACCCCTGAGACTGTCATCAGCCTGTGGCAGCCCCGTTCCCCTTTCCTGGTCTTAGGGCAGAATCCGTGGAGACTACTTCCAGAAAGCATGTGGCTCCTGGGTTATAACTTAATCTCCTGGTCCTGGGGTCACTTGGGGTCCCCTCCGTGCGTTCTTCCCCCCTGAGGAGCCTGGTTTAGGGCTGGGCACAGGACTTATCCATCCCGCCCAGTTAACACCTGTTTTTACTTTATTTTTGTTTGTTTTCTCCATGTGTGTATTTCCTAATTTATTTACCTCTGTTTCCCCTTTTTTCTTTTTCTTTTTTTTAATTAAAGAGCAAAGCTTTTTATTACTTTGTAATTTAAAAAACTGAAAAAAAAATACTGAAGAACTTTGGGGGGAATTTTGTACTTTTTTCCTGTGTAAATATTGGACTTTTTTGAGCTTTATTGTGGTTGTTAATTTGAAGTAATAAAGTAGAAAAGGATAAAGTGACGTGGGCAGCCCTCGGTCCACCTCTTTGCTCTGGGCGGGGGGGGGTCTCTCCCCTACAGACCTGGGGGCGGGAGGCCAGGGACACTTGGGCAGTGGTTGGCACGTCCAGGGCTGCTTGAAACCAGTGCTTCAAAAACTACTTACGAAGCCCCCAGGGGCCTCGTTGGAGTGCGGGCTCTGACTCAGCAGGGCTGAGGTGGGGCCTGAGTCTGCATCAAACTCGGGATGCCCAGGCCCCAGGACCACACTGAATAGGAAGATTCAGAGCATCACCACCTTAGCCGCCTGAGCATTCTGAGACGGGTCCTGCTCATCTCCCTGCCTTCGGGTGGGGAAACAGCACAGAGCCAGATGACTTGCCCAAGGTCACACAGTTCTGCCCTCGGATCCAGGACTCGGATGCCACCGTCAACTGTGGAGCCCGGCGAGTGAGGGCACTAGAGTGGGATTCCAGTGCTGGCTGTGCCATAGGTGACCCTGGGTGCTTCCTTCGGTCAAGCCCTGATAAACGGGCAGCCCTCAGCCTGGCCTGCCTCTGTCTCACCAGTCTATAAAAGGATTTGTCTGTCAGTCTGCATTTAGCTAACAGTTGACTTTTCTACTTCCCATTAACTCAAGACCCAAGAGCCACTGTTGCCCCAATCTCCATCCACAAACGAGCAAAGCCACCTGACCATAGGTGAGCCTGGGGAGGGGCTGAGGGCTCTGAGAGGTTCCCCTAGGGCATTTTGAGGTCCTAGGCATAGCTCAAAACCCCTATAATTAAGGTCACTTCCAGTGCTGACATTTGAAGACCCTCTGACCCCACAGCCTGGCTCCGACCTGCTGAAGGGTCTCCTGCTGGCCCTCGACGTGAGGTTAAGGCAGAAGTCCTTGTGTGCAGCCATCAGGGATGGGGGTGTGTTTCTTAAAGCCAGGAAATGCCAGAGCGCCTTTTCCAGGGAGACCTGCCGAGGGGCGGGTGACCACAGGGCGTTTGGTGACCCAGCGGCAGCCCCTCCGTGCCCTGCCATCAGGAGCTTTCAGGCAGGACGTCTGACATCAAACACTAAGTGTGAGGTTACCAACTGTGGGCCTGAGGGAGCTACTCTAATTTAAAAATCTTTATGTATGTTTTGCAGTAAAAACTAGTTCCTAATAACACTAATGTGTTATTTGTTGTATCCTACAATATAGGTAAGTTTCAAAATCCCCATTTTAATATTACTACTAAAAGTGTACCTATGGAGTAAAGTACTTTTTTACAGGTTTTTTTTTTTGCCTTTATATCTCACTAAAGATGTCTTTTCAGAGTACAATACCCAGAAGTAACTTGAAGTTTTCTCTGTGCGATTATTTTATTAACTTTAATAATGAGTTAGTGCATTCTCCCCCTTTTTGGTTTAATTGTTTTGGGAGATTTTACCTACATGAAGGTCAAGCTCTATAAAAAGTTATAATCAGGGGCCGGACCTGTGGCCGAGTGGTTAAGCACTCCACTCCGCTGGCCCAGTGTTTCGCTAGTTCGGATCCCGGGCGCAGACCTAGCACCGCTTGTCAAGCCATGCTGAGGCAGCGTTCCACGTACCACAACCAGAGGCACTCACAACTAGAATATACAACCATGTACTGGGGGGCTTTGGGGAGGAGAAGAAGAAAGATTGGCAACAGATGTTAGCTCAGGTGCCAATCTTAAAAAAAAAAAGAGCCTCACTCCCATCCCTGCCCTTGCCGTGTTCCTCCCCAGGGCCTCACCGGTTTTGGGATACTTTCCTGTGTTTCTCATTCAGGGAGCTAATGCATATGTGAGGGGGTGGTGACTGACAGCCTATGAGGAAGTGACATTTAAGCTGAGGCCAGAGGGGTGACCAGGATGCGTCAACCATGTACGCAGTTTATTTTTACTAAGTACGCCAAACAATCGTCCGGAAATTTTGCCCAGACTGGAGGGGCGAAGCTGCCGCTTGGTGAATCATTTTTATTCCTGCAACAAACAAACATTGACAGGGCTTGTGTGGGTGCGGGGTGCCAGGTGGAGTGGAGTGCAGGGGTGAGGGGCGGGGAGCACAGGGTTGGAGTCCAGAGGGCTGATTTAGCCCCTTTTGACCTTGGGCATTGGCTGGGTCTCCGTTTTCTCCTCTGTAAAGTGGGAGCGGTCATACCTGGGTCAGAGAGTTGTAAGGTTAAATAAAATCACAGATAAACGCGAGGGCTGAGGTGAGTTGAGGGCTCTCTGTGCCAGGGCCTGTTCCAGCCCTTTGCTCATAACAATCCTATGAGCTTGGCGTATTATGGTGCCCACTTTATGGATGAGGACACTGAGGCACAGGGAAGAGTGCCGGACTCCACAGCCCATGCCCTTAACCTTCACTATAGCCAGGCACTCATCAGTGTGCAGCAGTGCTAACTACCCAGCCTAGTCCGGGGAACGACGCAGCCTAGCAGATGGCTCATTCCAACCCAGAATCCAGTGAGAACCAGGGACAAATGAGGGAGGGAATATGTCTGGTGCCATCAAGGAAGCTGTTTCAAAGATACTTGACCTGAGCCTTGAAACATGAGTAGGAGTTTGATGGGGACAAGGTCGGAGCAGGTCATTCCCAGCAGAGGAAACAGCACGTGTAAAGGACCAGATTTATGATAGTTTGATATATTCGGATAGTTCCAAGCACAGAGGGCGAGGGAGGAGCCCCACAGTAGCCGAGGCTGACGGAGGCAGAGGCCAGATCCTGCCGCAGGGGGGAGGAGTCCCGAAGGCTCTTCCGCTCCCTACCTGCAAGCAGCTCATCCTTCTTGAGCCCTGGTTTCCTTCTCTGCAAATGGGGATAATCATGCAACGGAAGCTGTTATTCCCCCTCAGCCTGACACTCAGTGCCCACTCTCCTGATTTCATCCACCAGCCTACACTGTGGGGAACATTGATTAGGGGAGAAGGCACGACGGATGTGAACTTGAGGAATGCGAATCTGGCAACAGTGAGCAGGGAGACTGGAGATGGGAGAAAGGAGGCAGACAAGAGTTAGGGAGCTATGGTCCCAACCCAGCCAGCAGGCATTCAGAAGGCGAAGATGACTGAACCCGTTTCAGAACACCATCTATGTGTCTATTCTTAGCCGACTGAGAGAGAGGGAGGAGTCAGGAGGCGCTGAGGTTACCAGCCTGGGGCCTGGGAGCACAGCAGGACCAGCGACAGAAAGCTAACGCGGGGGAGAGGCGCGTTCTCGGCGCCAAACCAAGGAGGGGCGGCCGGCGCGGGAGGAGCAGAGCTGGGAGGACGGCGCATCAGGGAGGAAGGCGGGGCCAGCGCTCTCGAGGCAATAGGGCCGTAAAAAGGATGAGGCTGGCGAAAAGAGAGGTTCCCGCTGACCACTTCCCCCTAGTTCCTTTTTGTTAAAAAAAATTAAGGTATAATTTATGTACAGAAAAATGCACACATCTTAAGTGTATGGATCCATAGCTTTTTGCCTGTTTCTGTGTACCGTACCTGTGTAATCAGCACCTGATAAAGATGTAGGCGATTGTTAATACTCCAGCCAGTTCCCTCATGCCCCTTCCCACGCAATATCACCACCACCCCTACCCAAACAGGACCCCACTCCTGAATCCTAGCAACACGTGGCCTTCTGACTCTGGGAGGAGAATCAGAGCAGGAGGTGAGACGGGAGGGAACGAGCACAAGATGCCCTCAGGAAGAGGAAGGAAGACCTGAGCCAGGACACTTGGGGGGGAGGGGGGGGCGAGTCACGGGCAGAGGAGGTGGTTTCGAGGGTCGAAGAGGTCTGCAAGTGTTCTGAGGAAGGAGATTGAAGGCTGGAAGGCAGAAGGTTTGGAGGAGCAGGGAGGGGAGGGGACCCTCGGAGAACTTGGTCAGGGACCAAAGGAGGGGTGGGCTTCCTCTGAACTTGGTTCAATCTCTTCCCCTGCGCTTCTTATCACCTGCAAGAATACAAGTCCCTCGTGTCACTGCGCTGGTCCCTCTTGGCAGCGGCATCCCCTCTCCATTCCTACCTGCGTGTTGATGCCCACCCAACCCAGGGCCTCCCATGGGGCAGTGGATCAGGCAGGCCCCCGCGGCCAGCTCCAACGGGCCCACTCCAGCATAGCTTGAGCAAAGGCGAACGCCTTCCCCTCCCGAATTCTCTCCCTCCCCCTTCCCCTCCCTCTCCTCCTCCCCCGGTCTATGCTCTATTTCAGAAACAGATATGGAACAGTTGCAGCTAAGCATGCTGAGCCCACGTCACATCCTCTTTCCCAGAGCCTACAGCACAGGCACCACAGGCACACGTCTGATCATTCAGAGGAGTAAACACATTCCAAGCTCCAACCTCCAGCTGCCCAGTCCCCAGACATCTACGACTCTCGCTCAAGCCACACTTCTCCGGGGCCTGTTTCCCTGCTGAAACGTGGGACAAGGGGTCTGGTGCACAGGATAAGTGTTGCCATGGTGACCCCGAGCCACCTTCCCCTCCTCTTTCTCTGGCCTGCTCCTGCCACCTCTTCTTTCACCCTAGCATCAAGGCACCGACAGCATTTCTCTGTCCTCTCAGCTGTCCTGTGTGAGGCCACGTCCCACGGCCTATTGAGGTCCAAGAAGCTGCATGTTCAGGGCTTGGCTTCACTGAGCCCGCACTGTCCATGCAGGAGAGGCTGACGGGATGGGAGAGCAGTCCAGCCACCTGGTGGGGTGAGGAGAGCAGAGGGCTCAGCCCTGGGGTACTGCCCCTTTAAGGAGGTCCCAGTGGGAACCCCCAAAACAGATACTTGCAAACAGTAACTTGGGCTCCTGCAGGCCCCTGAGAGAATGGCATCTCAAGCAATTATGCCTCCCAAGGCCTTTCATCCCAGCATCTTCAAAGCACCTATGCTTAAGGAGCGGCCCCTTTGAAGTCATCCCATCCACGTTTGCTGAGTCACTGCAGCTCTGAGACTGGGACACCCAGGCCTCTTGCTTCTTCTCCTCCTCCTCCCCTCCCTCTCATTAATGCCTCCCTGGGAAAACCCTGGACCCAGCTTCCACAGCT